TTGGTAAAATTTCTAACTGATCCTATGGAGCTAATAATAGGATCAGTTTCGTATAAATTTGTCCCCCCAAAGGCTTCTCACATTTTGAGCCCTATTGTTGGTAAATTTTAACTTCAATGTTAAAAAAAACTTAGATTTAGTTGGATAAATTAAGCTCCTTGACTGACTTAAATGATTCTTACATGCGTTAGGTTTTGATGTTATTTCCTTGTTTACGAAAGTTCCTGAGTTGATGATGTTATTAAGTTTCTTATCTAAAAAATCGTTATTATATTTATATTACCAGTTCCTACCATCATTTAAAACTTATTAAACTTTGAATTGTTGATGCAAAATTTGATTTAATGATAAGTTTTACCTCAGAAAAATTGGTATAGGGAATGGGAAATCCTCTTTTAACCTGTTCTTAAGTTAATCTTTACATGGAATTTTTTGAAACAAGATTGCTTAACACAATCCTCCCTATTAGAGCAAAATGTTCAGATATGTTGATATTATTTTATGTCTTTATGCCCAAGAATGTAAGATGTACACATTTCCTTGGCAAATTAAATAGCTTAGCACATTCTATAAATTTTACTTTGAGTTTGAGGGAAAATAACTCATTGCCTTTTCTTAGATGTTTTAAATTGATTAGAGTAATAATGAATTCACAAATTTAAAATTTACAGAAAACCTAACTAAAAATCTGTTTCTATGTACACTATTATTCTTTCTCATCAAGATTAGAGTTAAACTGTCTGTTTTTATCATTCAGTGTTTTTTTGAGAAGGGCTTTACGTTCTTGTAGTCAGAGTTCATAGATGAAGAAATATTCAAAGGTTATGAAATAGCCATCGATTGAAATTACCGAGAAATGTAATTGTATAAATCATTTAAAATTGCTAGACATACTTTTTAAACCAAAATAGGGACAAGAACCAACCTTATTCAAATAAAAACTATTGTTGGTTCTCCTTTCATGAAAACTTGGTTGATATGCTTTTTCTTCTTAAGACTTTTAATAATTAAGTTGTATTTTAAAATCTTGATACAGTAAAAAAAAACTTTTGAAGAAGAATTCCCCCCAAAATGTGCAGGATGTGTCTATAAGATCATTGTAAAATTTGCCATAAAGTTTATTACGGTCAAACTTGCTCCAAAAATCTCGAAACTTAGTTAAAACAACATAAATTAGTAGCATTTAGAAATGGACCCAAGATTCCAAAGCACTATTTATTCATGTGAGAGATTTTAACCCATCCAATTGATTTTCAAAAAAGTGAGGAAAGTGTACAAGCAAGTCATGGTTGACAGAAACTATAATTGAATCTTGTTTCATAAAAACAGTTTTGAAAAATAATATGAATATTCCCTTAGGGTTTATAAATTAGACTCATTTATAATTAATAAATTTGGTTAGAGTTAATATACATTGGACAAATATACCTTATTTCTTGGGTTAGAATGTTTTGTTAGTGGGATGTCGTGAGGACTTGTCCAGTTGGACCTGCGGACCTCAGCAGTGTTCCTCTTTTCTTATGAAGTCCGGTATTGTCGCGCGTAGGTGGTTTTTTTGATGTGGGGGGTTGACTGTGAGGTGTAGTTTAAGCCCTTTTAATTGAATTCCTTTGATGTATTACCATTTTATAGTTCCTTTGACCAATGTGAGTAGTCACGAAAAGCGCTTGAAAATTTAATTACCTTTCACAGTGGTTTGTTTTGAAATATTTTAATATCACCTGTTTACTCGTGATCTTAATTGCATTATATAAATATATAATTTATTTATATATATATCATATATATATAAATATAATATTATATATATATATTATTTATATATTTAATATATAATATATAATATATATATTATAGATCTTATATATATATATTATATATATATCTATATATCTATATATATATTATTATCACACTGGCCGATTCCCATTCAAGGCAGGGTGGCCCGGAAAGAAGTAAACTTTCACCATCATTCACTCCATCACTGTCACTTGCCAGATGGGGTGCTTTACACTAAGTTTTTAAAACTGCAACATTAACCACCCTTCTTCAGAGTGCAGGGGCACTGTACTTCCCATCTCCAGGACTCAAGTCCGGCCTGCCGGCTTTCCCTGAATCCCTTTTCATAAATGGTTACTTTGCTCACACTCAACAGCACGTCAAGTATTAAAAACCATTTGTCTACATTCAACTCCGTCAAAACCGCCTCCGCATGCCTTGCTGGAAGTCCAAGCCCCTCGCACACAAAACCTCCTTTACCCCCCTCCCTCAAACCCTTTCCTAGGCCGGGACCCCTACCCCGCCTTCCTTCCACTACAGACTGATACACTCTTGAAGTCATTCTGTTTCGCTCAATCTCTCTCATGTCCGAACCACCTCAACAACCTTCCTCTGCCCTGTGGACAACAGTTTTGGTAATCCCGCACCCTTCCTCCTAACTTCCCAAACTACGAATTTCTCTGCATTATATTCTCATAACCACACATTGCCCACAAGACATGACCATCTTTTTTTTCCCCCCACTGCCTCTAGCTTCTCATCGCTGCAACATTTCATCACACATGCTTCACCACCCATATAGAGCGTTGGTACAACTATCTCTCTTACATTTCCTCTTTGCCTCCAAGGGACAAAGTTCTGTCTCCAAGACTCCTAAGTGCACACTCAACTTCTTTTTCCCTCATCAATTATAGGATTCACCTCATCTTTTCATGACCCATCTGAATGACACGTCCACTCCCAAATATCTGAATACGTTTCACCCTCCTCCATACTCTCTCCCTCCAATCTGATATTCAATCTTTCATCCACCTAATCTTTTCGTTATCCTCATAACCTTACTCCTTTCCTGTATTCACCTCTTAATTTTCTTCTTTTGGCACACCTACCAAATTCTCCACCCAATCTCTGCAAACTTCTCTTCAGAATCTACCAAGAGCACCAGTGTCACTCAGCAAAAGAGCAGCTTGACAAACTCCCACTTTTGTGTTGTGATTCTTTATCTTTTAACTACACGCCTCTTGCCAAGACCCTCGCATTTACTTCTCTTACACCCGCCATCGCTATAAATATATTAAACAACCACGGTGACATCACACAATCCTTGTCCTAAGAGCTACTTTTCCTGGGAAAAAATTTCCCTCTTTCCTTTATACTCTAACTTGAGCTCATTATCTACTCGTTAAAAAACTCTTTCATTGCTTTCAGTAAACTACCTCCTACACCATACACTAGGCAACTTCTGCCAATTGCCCCCCGTAATCCACCCTGTCATACGCCTTTTTCCAAATCCATAACATGCAACAAAAAACCTCTTTAGCCTTATCTTAAAATACCGGTTCACTTTATGTTTCACTGTAAACACCTGGTCCACACACCCCCTACCTTTCCTAAAGCCTTCCTTGGTTCATCTGCTATCCTATTTTCCGTCTTACCTCTTAATTCTTTCAAATTATAACTCTACCATACAATTTACCAGGTATACTCAACAGACTTATCCTCCTTAAATTTTGCACTCTCTTTTTTATCCCCCCTGCATTTATACAAAGGGAACTATGCATGCTCTCTGCCAATCCCTAGGTCCTTACCCTCTATCATACATTTATTAATAATTTGCTCCCAACCACACCAAAACTATATCCCCACCTGCTTTTTAACATTTCTATCTTTATCCATCAATCCCAGCTGCCTTACCCCCTTTCATTTTACTACTGCCTCACGAACTTTCCCCCACACTCACAAACTGGCTTCTTCCTCATCCTAGAAGATGTTATCCTCCTTGCCCTTTACACGAAATCCACAGCTTCTACCATATCTTCTATCAACATTTAACAATTCCTCAAATATTCCCTCAAATCTTCCCAATACCTCTAACTCTCCATTTAATAACTCTCCTCTCCTATTTTTTAACTGACAAATCCATTTGTTATTCTAGGCTTTTTAACTTGTTAATCTCACTCCAAATTTTTCTTATTTTCAACAAATTTGTTGATAAAATTCTTCACCCACTCTCTCATTTGCTCTCTTTTACATGCTTCACCATCTCTTAACCTCTCTCTTTTTCTCCATATACTCTTTCCTACTTTGCATCACTTTACTTGTTAAAAACTTCTCATATGCTAACTTTTTCTCCCTTGCTACTCTTCTTTACATTCTTCATTCACCAATCCGCTCCTCTTCCCTCCTGCACCACTTTCCTGTAACCACAAACTTCTGCTGTAAACACTCTAACACTTAATTTTTAAACCTTACCCCATACCTCTTCGACCCTGGCCTATGCTTCATTAGACCTCTATCTCAAATAGCTATTTATATCTTACGCTAACTCGCCTCCTCTTTTAGTTTTTATTAAACCTTCACTCTCTATCTTTCCCTGATGCTTATATTCTCCCTTGTATCCCATCTACCTTTTTACTCTCAAGTGTAGCTACCAAACTAGAAAGTGATCTGATATATCTGATATTTATTTTTTTTTTCAACAAGTTCGGGCCGTCTCCCACCGAGGCCAGGGTGATCCCAAAAAAAAGAAAGAAAATCACCAAAAAAGGAAAAATACATTCATCATCATTCAACAACTTTCACCACACTCGCACATTAATCACTGTTTGAAGAGGTGGCTAAGAATACAAAACAGTTTAGAAGCAATAACCACATATAAAGATACACAAAATATCCCTTCTAAAACTGCCAATATCCCAAACCCCTCCTTTATAAAAGTGGCATGCATTGTTTACTTCCCATTTCCAGGACTCAAGTCTGAATTATATGAAATTAAAACCGGTTTCCCTGAATCCCTCACTAAATATTACCCCTGGTCACACTCCAAAAGATCGTCAGGTCCCCAAGTACCATTCGTCACATTTCTCTCCTATCTAACCCGCTCACGCACGCTTTGCTGGAACAGTCCAAGCCCTTGCCCACAAAAACCTCCTTTACCCGTATCTCAACCCTTTCGAGGACTGACCCCTACACCGCCTTCCTTCCCCTGTAGATTTATATGCTTTCCATGTCATGGGTAGCCACCCACTTCTTGAGGGTGGGCGTCGCCCCAAACCAGTCCACGATGACAGTCTCTATCCTCTGTGACGCCAGGATTAACAGACCTGAGGAGACAGTCACTATTACTCAGGGGAAAGATATTTAAGTAGGGGGAAAGAGATTCGCCTAGGACAAGAATGGAAAAGACTGTTAATTTAAAGTAAATAACAGATTACGGATTAGATTATTATTAACTAGGGTATCTGACTGTCAGAGATGACTGTCACTTTGGAAGATAGATCCACTTGGTAAAGATGCCTTTAATGGGAAGAATTGTTACCGTTAGATTGGGAAGAGTACAGTCAACAGGATAAGATTTACTGTTTATTGAAAGAGAAAACTGATAGCTGGGATAGTGTGATTATTAGAATTAGAGACAATATATAGAAGTAAAATGATATAGAAATATATTGTTAGGTCAGAGACATGTGTAAACATGTATGAGTGCTATGTACACAGCACACATGTATGTGTGCTTTGTACGCAGCACACATGTATGTGTGCTATGTACACAGCACACAGATATGTGCAACAGATAAACAGGCAGCAATCACTCCAACAGACATTGTAGATGGTGGTGACAGAGATACAGACAACCCAGATACTCTGTCCTTCCTAAGAGGAAGAAATCATTCTCAGTCCCCTTTCCTTTAATTCTACCACAGACCTCTCCCTTCCTTATCCCTTCCCACAACACAAACCCTTATATCCTTCCCTCTTATACCCCCTGGTGCGACAGACAAGCCATTCATTTCACCCCATTCCCAACACCCCATCTTCCCCCCAGCACCAGAGACCAATCCCCACCTTTCTCTTTCCCCACATCTACCTCCCCCAGCATCACTCACAGAGGAAGGTGAGGTAGGACGCTGAGTGGCAAATGAATTTGATGAAAGGCTTGCGCATGGTCTGGCCTGGGGTGGTGTGGGGGGCCAGGATGTACACGATGGAGAAGATGGGGAACAACAGACCAATCTTGACGATCTGCAGTGCTTGTAGCGCCATGTTTTTACGTCGGAAGCCAGGCAACCCTTCGTACCAGATGGAAGCCAGAAGCTGCTGCACGTTGGGATGCGCAACGAACTGTGGAGAACAATAATTGTTAAGTGTTATAGGTGTGTGTATGAGAGAGAGAAAGAGAGAATATATGTACTCATCTGCATGTGCCTTCAGGGGTCGATCTTTAGCTCCTGTCCCAATCCTCTCAACATCTCGCTTGTCAGATTCACTCACTCCTAGCCTCGTGGCTCCTATCGTACCTTCCCTGCCTTCATCATTCTCCCTCCGAGATCATTCTACTTTACGACCACCCGGAGGCTGAATAAATACTTCCTGACATCTGTGTGGTTCATCCGTATCTTTAAAACATCAGGTTGTTAGACTATTAAGCTATTAGAGTATCAGGTTGTTAGACTATCAGGTTGTTAGACTATCAGGTTGTTAAACTATCAGGTTGTTACACTATCAGGTTGTTAGACTATCAGGTTGTTAGACTGTCAGGTTGTTAGACTATCAGGTTGTTAGACTATCAGGTTGTTAGACTATCAGGCTGTTAGACTAACGCAGTGTACACTGGAGAACTTAACATGGCCTCTCCAGTGGCTGGAACTTAATATATTCAAAGAGGAGGAAGGTAATTATGTCACAGGTGCCATTAGCGGTGATTAAATGAGGTGGTAATTACCAGTAGCCAACGAGCGCTGATTGGTTGAGACATTATGGCATTGTATGTAGTAGTGGAACGAGGCTTCCCATTGGCTGAGATGGCGTGAAAGAATTTATATTTTCTTAAATTCTGATTGGTTGAGATTATGTCTATTTTAATGTATGTATGTATGTATGTATGTATGTATGTATGTATGTATGTATGTATGTGTGTATGTATTTATGTATATTTATATGTATGCATGTATGTATGTTTGCATGTATGTATGTTTGCATGTATGTATGTATGTTTGCACGTATGAATATTTGTGTATGTATGAATGTTTCCACTTATGAATGTATGTACGTGTATGTATATATGTATGTGTGTGTTTATGTATGTATTTATGTATGCATGAATGTATGTATATATGTACGAATGTATGGAATTCTCACCTGGATATACTTACAGTGTTGTGGATGATAAAGTTGAGGCTCATCTTTTGTTTCGTGGGCCATTTCGCACCTGTTCGTAAAACTGCGCGTGGACTCTGCTTTCACTGCTTCCTCGTATAGGTCATCTCTCTACGTGACCGCCAAGTGGACGGATACGCATTTTCCCATCGTCCGTGTTACGCATTCACCGCAAGGAGTGATGGTGGCTCGGTACTCCTTACGTACACACGTACGTACAAACACACACACACACACACACACACACACATTCAGAATTTAATTTCACCCCATCTTTCTTTTCTTTCTTCTTATATATCTCACTTTGCTACAATATATCAAGTATATAGCCAACTTAGCGCCCAAAAACCTAACAACTTAGCATGCTATTTCGTCTTGTGACGTAAAAGATGCTTCAGAAGACGCAGTTTGACGAGAATAATGAATTAATTTGAAACAAATGAGGATAATTTGGCAGCCCAGCACGTTAGCCGAGCATGTCTTGTAGACGTTTTCAAGACGTCTACAAGACGTCTTATAGCAATTGTATGCGAGAGGCTAAAAAATTTTTGTGTAATTATATATATATATATATATATATATATATATATATATATATATATATATATATATATAATATATATATATATATATATATATATATATATATATCGTGCCGAATATGTAAAACTGGTCAATTAGCAAGAACTCATTTAAAATTAGTCCTTTCTAAAATTTTTTTTAAAAACTTTTTAAAGATATATTTTTTCATTAAGGTTATGTAAAAAAAAATTTAATTTTGCCCAAAAGAATCTTAAAAAAATTTACCAAACCTTTATTATAACGATTTAAACTAACAAAAAATGAAATATATTTTTTTTTTTCATTAGGTTAAGAATGAATTTGGCGAAATTTTGCATACACAAATTTTTACTTGTCCCAATGGGAAGATGAGCGTTCTATTTAAGCCCAAAATCGCAATTCTGCCCATTCGGCACGACATATATAATATATATAAAAAAATATATTTTATAAACCCCTGACTCTGGCTGAAAGGGGACTCGAAAAATACGAACCTTAGGACAAGGTACGCATGCTTTTCCCAAACTAAACCACACGGACAATACCGTGGCGTTAGCTTTCGCAAAAATTTTTTCCAAGCCCAGCTTTTGGAAAGGCTTTTCACTTTTTATCTCGTCCCCCGCATGCATCAGCCTTACTTAACAATGCAAGGAATTCCGAGAGAAAATCATTGTCTAGTGTGGGTAGGATGGTAAAGCCTGCGTACCTTGTCCTAAGGTTCGTAGGTTCGAGTCTCCTTCAGCCAGAGACATGTTTGTGTATATTTCGCCTGCTCTCGCGAATTCCTTATATATTATATAATATATATATATATATAATATATATATATATATATATATTAAAATATATATATATTTATATATATATATATATATTTTATATTATATATATATATAATAATTATATATTATATAATATAACACATATATATATACACACAAAAATATATATATATATATAATATTATATATAAATTATATATATATATATATATATATATATATATAATATTTTATATTATTTTATAAATATTAATCAATTATTCTAATTAATATTAATTACACACACCTAACAATTTACATTAAAACCTTTAACAAAACCGATGTTTTAAAATAAAAACATTGGATAAAATGTTTAAAAATTAGTAGAAGAAAATGTGTAGATGTGTGGAGTTATTAAGTGAGGCTTCACTTAGTAGGTATGATTGAAGGATAATGAGAATGAGTCTCTAAGATGATGAACTGAGAAGTGTGAATTCATCACAACTTAGAGAGTGATCATCTGAGGTTTCAGGAACTGGAAGATAGTTAACTGGGTGAGTGAATGGCTGGAGAAATAGGCGGATGAGTGGGTAGATGGAGAGAAATTGGCTAGTTGGACTAGCATGATGGAAGGTGATGGATGATCACTCATACCTTTTTCTGCTTGAGTTTGATGGCCAGTTTGAGACGGTTGAGATGCATTCTCTCGCCGTGTTCGTGTGGTGGTCCTGTCGGGTCGTGGTTCAGTAGCACCTCCAGTTCATAGGAGGATCTAGTGTGGTCCAGCAGCGCCGTCGCAAAATCCTGACACTGCTTTCGCAGTTCCTGGAGAAGGAAGAACGAATTAAGCATCTTGTAAAGATATTTGAAATGTGTGAGCTAAAGGATAGCCGAGGGACTGGTTACCTCATCTTCCACTGTATCCAATATTGAATAAAAGACCCTAGTTGGCGAAATATCTTCACAGCAAACATATCCGGGTATTACACGTGTGTCCTATTTATCAGTCTGAAGGTTGTGAGAAGGTTTGGAAACTCTTGAGACGAGAGGTATAAAGTCTTAAGACTCTGTAGAAGGACAGTGATCAGGTCTCTTGGCTGTGTGACTATGAGTGTACTGTACACTCCAGTTGTGTTGTAGTTCCAACTAACACAGTGTTTGCCTTACTGTCTCATTCTGAGCAGTGAAGACAAACTCACTCACTCGTGAACAAAATACTAAGAGATCCAGCCACTAACGAACAAGAGAACAAGAGGACTCAGACACGGACAAATAAAAAGACTTGGATACTGTGTTTGTAAGTGTATGTAATGTGGGTGAGATGAGGACGTGTTTCCAAGGTAAACACACCACAGAGTACTTCCATTGTTTCCTTGTTTACCTAAGATATACAAGGACGAGAGAGGGTGTGGGCAGGCTGGCTGATAAAAGGGAGTTAGGAGGGAGTTAAGAGGGAAGGGAGAGTTGAGATGGGAGTGGGGAACAAGGGAGCTGATAGGAATAATCATAATAGCAGTAGTAATAATAATAATAACAATAGTAGTATTACCAGAAATAGTAGCAGTAGGAATGACAGTAGTAGCATCAAAGTGGAAACTCCATTATCTATACACACAAACACACAACCATCAAAAATATACAATTTGGAAATATATATGCTAATAACCTCAGCCTTACACTAAAGGTAAGCAGCACAAGGGACACATCTATCATTCCCGACCCAAAACTCATTCTGCAAAAGTCGGATATTCTTCACAGTGGTCGCACCTGTGTTCACAGTGGTGGCACCTGTGTTCACAGTGGTCGCACCTGTGTTCACAGTGGTCGCACCTGTGTTCACAGTGGTCGCACCTGTGTTCATAGTGGTCGCACCTGTGTTCATAGTGGCCGCACCTGTGGTCACAGTGGTCGCACCTGTGTTCACAGTGGTCGCACCTGTGTTCACAGTGGTCGCACCTGTGTTCACAGTGGTCGCACCTGTGTTCACAGTGGTCGTACCTGTGTTCATAGTGGCCGCACCTGTGGTCACAGTGGTCGCACCTCTGTTCATAGTGGTCGCATCTGCGTTCACAGCGGCCTCACCTTCGACCTTAACACCTCGATCAATAGCCTTTCCTTAAGTCTTACAGTTAGTAGTTTAGAAAGTCTTAGAGCTAGTAAGTTAGAAAGTCTTAGAGCTAGTAAGTTAGAAAGGCTTATAGACAGCTACAGTACGTTGAGACACATAGCCTTCAGGCAGAAGGAAAAGCGTCCATTTATATAAATTGACGCCTATCGCTTTTCAAAGGCGATAGGCGTCAATTTAGGAAACGGAAGACGTCTCTTCAAGTTATGTGGAGTTAAAAGGCTTGGTATGATCCCCTGAAGGGAGGTTTAAAGTTTTACTTCAAGAAAATAACAGTCACAATACCATGGCTGGAACAATTCACAAGTAGCCAACAATACAGTGACTGGAACAACTCATAACCTACAATACCGTGACTGGAACAATTCACAAGCAACCCACAATACAATGACTGGAACAATTCACAAGTAATCTACAATACAGTGATTGGAACAATTCACAAGTAACCTACAATACAATGACTGGAACAATTCTCAAGTAACCTACAATACAATGACTGGAACAATTCACAAGTAACCTACAATACAATGACTGGAACAATTCACAAGTAACCTACAATACAGTGATTGGAACAATTCACAAGTAACCAACAATACAATGACTGGAACAATTCACAAGTAACCTACAATACAGTGATTGGAACAGTTCACACGTAACTTACAATACAATGACTGGAACAATTCACAACAAAGTGATCTTTCAGTCAGTCTTAAACCATTTCAAGACTCAACCTGGTAACGATCCAGGACCGACCGAAATGTCTTAAAAATGGTTTCGGGCTGGGCAAAACGTTTGTTAAGGATCTTCACCTTTAATGGCAAGTACCCATTATTTTTATTGGAAATTAAATCATTATTGAAATTAAAGGGGGGTTGACCTATGATTTTAATATGGTTATTTAATTAGGCTAATGGTAGCCATACCAATTTTTGAATTATGGCCAGGAAGGTCTCATTATGTTAATGGGAAAGGGAAGTAATGCGGTAATTAATTTAGTTAATGGGAGTGCAAATGGGAGTAAAAGGGTCAAAAATGGGGAGTTATAGGAGTACAATTTAATGGGGAAGTTATGGTTGATGTAATAGGCTAATTTGGAGATAACCATCCCCTAAATCCTGTCATCAACTTTCACTCAATTTTTTTCACCTTTCACTTCCCTTTCATTCAAGTTGTATTTCCTTTCTCCTCACTTTCATTAAACTTGGTTCAATTTCACTCAATTTTATTCACATTTCCCCACTTTTTCTCACTGGTACTCACTGCGAAACTATGTTCCATTTAGGAGAGTCCTCAGCTCCCAGGTATTGAAGGCCGTGAGGATGGGTCCTTGGGGATAGGGGTATGAGGGATGGGAGGCAGGGCCCTGTAAGGTTGATTTCCCGTCCTGTGTAGCAGGAGTCCTCCAGGGGACGTCACGCTCGTCACAGCGCACCTTAACGCCAACTAACGTTACAAATGTTTTGTTTCTAAAAAAGATAACTTTTCAATTATTTTCCAAAACTTTTACTTAAGACAGTCTAACAGGCTGAAATACCTTATTTTGTACACTTTGTTTGTTATTTGGTTAGATTGGGTTTAAATAAATATTGTTATTAGGTTAGGTTAAAATATTTTGTTATGCTGATAGGTTTTAACTAAGTTAAGTAGTTTTATGTCTTGGATTAGGAGAGTAAGATTTAGCTGGTTACTGAAGTAGTCTGGTTTAGTTAACGCAGCACAGCAACATGCTTTTTTGAGGCAGCTTCAGCAGCAACACTGCTGTGTTTAGACGATTCAGCAGCAATTGCTGTGTGGACAGATCTCGCAGCAAACTGCTGTGTTAGACGTATTCAGCAGCAACATGCTGTGTGAGACAACATCTCAGCAGCAACTCTGCTGTGTGAGACAGCATCTCCGCGAACACTGCTGTGTGAGATATGTTAAGTTAGGTTAGGTTATTCTTCAGCAGAACCTGCTGAGGGAAGACAGCATCTCGCAGCATCACTGTTCCTATTGTAAATGCCCGCACAGCAGCTGAGTAAAGGTGTACTTTAAAGAGTGCTACTCAACGACACTTCAGCAGAAAAAGGAATAAAGTTGGAAAGGGGAGTAGGAGTTTAAACAAGAAGGATGGGGAAAAAAGCCACACTCACCAACCCCCATACACAACACACAACACTCAACTAACACATACACACAAAAACCACCCACACCACACAACACACACACCACACCACAAACAACAAAACAAACAACCAAAAAAACCAAAAAAACACACACAAAACACACCCAAACAACCACACCACAAACAACACCAAAACACAAAAAACCCAAAAACACAAAGCACAACAACCCCAACAAAACACACACAAACACACACAACACACACAAACCAAACACACCAAAACACAAAACAAACACACAACACACACAAACACCAAACCAACACACCACAAAACAAAAACACAAAAAACACAACACACACCACACACAACACACACACACCACAAACAAAAAACACCACACAAACACACAAAACACACCTACAAACAACACACACAAAAACCACAAAAACAACAACACACACCCACACACCCACAAAACACACACCAAAAAACCCCACAAAACCCCACAACACACACACAACAAACCACACAACACACACACAAAAAAACACAAACACACACACAACAAACACACACACACACACAAACACACACACACACAAACACACAAAAACACAAAAAACACAAAACACAAACAAAACCCCACACGCAAACCACCACACACAAACGCACAAACAAACACAACAAAAACACACACACAAAACACACAAAACCCCAAACACCAAACACACACACACAAACTCACACACAAACACACACAAACACCACAAAAACCCCACACAAAACCACACACACAAACACACACAAACACAACCACAACACGCACACACACAAACACACACACACCACACACACACACACACACACACACAAACACACACAACACACAAACAACACACACAACACCACACAACCCCAACACACACACCACACACACAAACACAAAAACCCACGCAAACACACACACACAAAACCACACAAAACACAAACAAAAACACACACCAAACACCCACACACCAAACACACAAACACACTCCACAAACACACCACACAAACCCCACACAAACATCACACCCCACACACAAACACCCAACACACACAAACACACAACACACACACAAACGCACACAAAACACACCACAAAACACACACACAAACCCACACACCACCCACAACCAAAAACAAACACACAACACAAACTCACACACAAACACACACAAAAAAAAAAAACACACACACCCCACACAAACCACAAACACAAACACACACAAACACCACACACCCAACCCCCCAAAAACCCCACACAACAACACAACAAACCCAAAACACACACCAAACTCACACACACGCACAACACAAACACCACACACCACCCACACACCAAACCACACAAAAAACACACACACCCACACACGACACACACGCACACACACCACACACACACACCCCACACACACAAAACACACACCACACACACACACACACACACAAAAACACACACACACAAAACACACACACACACACACACACAAAACAAACACACACAAACACACACACACAACACACACACACACACACACACACACACACACACACACACACACACCACACACAAAGTGCAATATCATCATCCTAGTAATGTCGACTATGTCATTTTCTTTATATAATGATGCACCAATGGCCTCTTTCTCTCTCTCTCACTCTCTCCTCCTCGTCTGTCTCTCTCTCTCTCTCTTCTCTCTCTCTCTCTCTCTCTCTCTCTCTCTCTCTCTCTCTCTCTCTCTCTGTTTCTCTCTGTTTCTCTCTTTCAAAATTCCCTTCAAGCTGCATGGACAGGTGACGTCCCGGACAAGGACTCACCTGAGGTCGTGCGGACCGGGAAGGGTAGCGCCCCGGACCAGGACTCACCTGAGGTCGTGCGGACCGGGAAGGGTAGCGCCCCGGACCAGGACTCACCTGAGGTCGTGCGGACCGGGAAGGGTAGCGCCCCGGACCAGGACTCACCTGAGGTCGTGCGGACCGGGAAGGGTAGCGCCCCGGACCAGGACTCACCTGAGGTCGTGCGGACCGGGAAGGGTAGCGCCCCGGACCAGGACTCACCTGAGGTCGTGCGGACCGGGGAGGGTGGCGCCTCGGTCCAGGACTCACCTGAGGTCGTGCGGACTGGGGAAGGTGGCGCATGGGTCCAGGACTCACCTGAGGTCGTGCGGACCGGGGAGGGTGGCGCCCCGGTCCAGCAAGATCTTGATGATCTCGTAATTATCACGGTGGGCGGCCAGGATGAGTGGCGTGATGTCCGGCGTGAAGGTGGCAGTCTCTGGCGGGATGGCCTCCCAACTCTGTTACCAGGAGGGAGGTGAGGGAGGTGAGGGAGGTGAGGGAGGTGAGGGAGGTGAGGGAGGTGAGGGAGGTGAGGGATATGAGGAAGGGGAGGTGAAGAAGGGGAGGAAGGGGAGGTGAGGGAGGTGAAGGAGGTGAGGGAGATGAGGGAGGTGAGGGAGGTGAGGGAGATGAAAGAGATGAGTTAGGTGAGGGAGGTGAGGTAGATGAGGGAGGTGAGGGAGGTGAGGGAGGTGAGGGAGGTGAAAGAGGTGAGGGAGGTGAGGGAGGTGAGGGAGTTAAGGAGGTGAGGGAGGTGAGGGAGTAGAGGGAGGTGAGGGAGGTGAGGGAGGTGAGGGAGGTGGGGAGATGAGGGAGGTGAGGGAGGTGAAGGAGGTGAGGAAGGGGAGGTGAAGAAGGGGAGGAAGGGGAGGTGAGGGAGGTGAGGGAGGTGAGGGAGATGAGGGAGGTGAGGGAGGTGAGGGAGATGAAAGAGATGAGTTAGGTGAGGGAGGTGAGGTAGATGAGGGAGGTGAGGGAGGTGAGGGAGGTGAGGGAGGTGAAAGAGGTGAGGGAGGTGAGGGAGGTGAGGCAGGTGAGGGGGGTAAGGGAGGTGAGGGAGATGAAAGAGATGAGGGAGGTGAGGGAGATGAGGGAGGCGAGGGAGGTGAAGGAGGTGAGGGAGGTGAGGGAGGTGAGGAAGGGGAGGTGAAGAAGGGGAAGTCAGGGAGGTCAGGGAGGTCAGGGAGGTCAGGGTGGTCAGGGAGATGAGGGAGGTGAGGGAGGTGAGGGAAGTGAGGGAGGTGAGGGAGATGAAAGAGATGAGTTAGGTGAGGGAGGTGAGGGAGATGAAAGAGATGAAAGAGATGAGGGAGGTGAGGGAGGTGAGGGAGGTGATGGAGGTGACGGAGGTGAGGGAGGTGAGGAGTTGAGGGAGGTGAGGGAGATGAAAGAGATGAGGGAGGTGAGGGAGGTAAGGGAGGTGAGAGAGGTGAGGGACGTGAGGGACGTGAGGGAGGTAAGGGAGGTGAGGGAGGTGAGAGGGTGAGGGAGGTGAGGGACGTGAGTGAGATGAGGGGGTGAGGGAGGTGAAAGAGATGAAAGAGACGAGGGAGGTGAGGGAGATGAGGGAGGTGAGGGAGGTGAGGGAAGTGAGGGAGGTAAGGGAGGTGAGGGAGGTGAGGGAGGTGAGGGAGGTGAGGGAGGTGAGGGAGGTGAGTGAGGTGAGGGGGGTGAGGGAGGTGAGGGAGGTGAGGGAGGTGAGGGAGATGAAAGAGATGAGGGAGGTGAGGGAGATGAGGGAGGTGAGGGAGGTGAGGGAGGTGAGGGAGGTGAGGGGGTGAGGGAGGTAAGGGAGGTGGGAAATGAAAAAGATGAGGGAGGTGAGGGAGGTGAGGGAGTTGAGGGAGGTGAGGGAGATGAAAGAGACGAGGGAGGTGAGGGATGGTAAGGAAGGTGAGAGAGGTGAGGGAGGTGAGGGACGTGAGGGACATGAGTTAGATGAGGGAGGTGAGGGTGGTGAGGGAGATGAGGGAGGTGAAGGAGATGAAAGCGACGAGGGAGGTGAGGGAGGTGAGGGAGATGAGGGAGGTGAGGGAGGTGTGGGAAGTGAGGGAGGTAAGGGAGGTGAGGAGGTGAGAGGGAGGTGAGGGTGGGTGAGGGGTGAGGGAGGTGAGGGGGTGAGAGAGGTGAGGGAGGTGAGAGATGAAAGAGATGAGGGAGGTGAGGGAGATGAGGGAGGCGAGGTAGGTGAGGGAGGTGAGAGAGGTGAGGGAGGTGAGGGGGTGAGGGAGGTGAGGGAGGTGAGGGAGATGAAAGAGATGAGGGAGGTGAGGGAGGTGAGGGAGGTGAGGGAGATGAAAGAGATGAGTTAGGTTAGGGAGGTGAGGGAGGTGAGAGAGGTGAGGGAGGCGAGGGAGGTGAGGGGGTGAGGGAGGTGAGGGAGATGAAAGAGGTGAGGGAGGTGAGGGAAGAAAGGGAGATGAGGGAGATGAGAGAGGTGAGGGAGGTGAGGGAGTGAAGGAGATGAGGGAGATGATGGGAGGTGATGGAGGTGAGGGAGGTGAAGGAGGTGAGGGAAGTGAGGGAGGTAAGGGAGGTGAGGGAGGTGAGGGAGATGAGGGAGATGAGGGAGGTGAGGGAGGTGAGGAAGGGGAGGTGAAGAGGGAGGAAGGGGAGGTGAGGGAGGTGAAGAAGGGGAGGAAGGGGAGGTGAGGGAGGTGAGGGAGGTGAGGGAGGTGAGGGAGATGAGGGAGGTGTGGGAGGTGAGGGAAATGAAAGAGATGAGGGAGGTGAGGAAGGTGATGGAGATGAGGGAGGTGAGGGAGGTGAGGGAGATGAAAGAGATGAGGGAGGTGAGGGAGGTGAGGGATGGTGAGGGAGATGAGGGAGGTGAGGGAGGTGAGGGAGGTGAGGGAGGTGAGGGAGGTGAGGGAGGTGAGGGAGGTGAGGGAGGTGAGGGAGGTGAGGGAGGTGAGGGAGGTGAGGGAGGTGAGGGAGGTGAGGGGAGATGAAAGAGATGAGTGGAGATGAGGGAGGTGAGGGAGGTGAGGGAGATGAGGGAGGTGAGGGAGGTGAGGGAGGTGAGGGAGGTGAGGGAGATGAAGGAGGTGAGGGAGGTGAGGGAGGTGAGGGAGGTGAGGGAGGAGAGGGAGATTTAGGACGAGTGAGGGGAAGGAAATAAGAATATTAGAAATCAGGTGAGCAGGAATCAGGTGAGCAGGAATCAGGTGAGCAGGAATCAGGTGAGCAGGAATCAGGTGAGCAGGAAGCAGGTGTGCAGGAATCAGGTGAGCAGGAATCAGGTGAGCAAGAATCAGGTGAACAGGAATCAGGTGAACAGGAATCAGGTGAGCAGGAATCAGGTGAGCAGGAATCAGGTGAGCAGGAGCCAGGTGAGCAGGAATCAGGTGAGCAGGAATCAGGTGAGCAGGAATCAGGTGAGCAGGAATCAGGTGAGCAGGAATCAGGTGAGCAGGAATCAGGTGAGCAGGAATCAGGTGAACAGGAATCAGGTGAACAGGAATCAGGTGAACAGGAATCAGGCGAGCAGGAATCAGGTGAACAGGAATCAGGTGAACAGGAATCAGGTGAGCAGGAATCAGGTGAGCAGGAATCAGGTGAACAGGAATCAGGTGAACAGGAATCAGGTGAGCAGGAATCAGGTGAGCAGGATCAGGTGAACAGGAATCAGGTGAACAGGAATCAGGTGAGCAGGAATCAGGTGAACAGGAATCAGGTGAATAGGAATCAGGTGAACAGGAATCAGGTGAGCAGGAATCAGGTGAACAGGAATCAGGTGAATAGGAATCAGGTGAGCAGGAATCAGGTGAGCAGGAATCAGGTGAACAGGAATCAGGTGAGCAGGAATCAGGTGAGCAGGAATCAGGTGAACAGGAATCAGGTGAACAGGAATCAGGTGAGCAGGAATCAGGTGAAACAGGAATCAGGTGAACAGGAATCAGGTGAACAGGAATCAGGTGAACAAGAATCAGGTGAACAGGAATCAGGTGAACCATTATGGTTCAGCAGCAGAATAAAGAAAAAAGAAAAAAACACAATTTTAAATAAATTTACACACTAATAATCAAATTTTATGCATTTACATATATATATATATATATATATATATATATATATATATATATATATATATATATATATATATATATATATATATATATATATATATATATAAATATGTCGTGCCGAATATGTAAAACTGGTCAATTAGCAAGAACTCATTTAAAATTAAGTCCTTTCTGAAATTTTCTCTTATACGTTTAAAGATATATTTTTTCCATTAATGTTAATGTAAAATTTTTAAATTTTGCACCAAGAGAATCTTAGAAAACTTACCTAACCTTATTATAACAAGAACAATTTATTTTAGCCTAACCCAACTAAATATATTTTATATTTGTTTACAGTAATTTAATACTAAACAAACACAGTGAAATATTTTTTTTTCGTTAGTTTCAGAATGATTTTGGCGAAATTATTGCATACACAAATTTTCGCTTGTCTTATATGGCAAGATGAGCGTTGCTTTTTAAGCCAAGATCGCAAGTTCTGCCTATTCGGCACGACATATATAAATAATATTATATATATATATATATATATATATATATAATATATATATATATATATATATATATATATATAATATATGTGTGTGTGTGTGTGGTGTGTGTGTGTGTGTGTGTGTGTGTGTGTATAATTTGCCTCAAGACATCGACTACATTCTCTGGCTTCCATTTTATGGAATTTTCGTAAAATATGAAATCTTATGATTTGTCGTAAAGTTTATGGCCCTGAAACGACATGCCGGTGGCCACGGGTGGCCAGAGGGTGGCCACGGGTGTTCAGGGGGGGGTGGCCAGGGGGTGGCCACGTGTGGTCAGAGGGGTAGCCACGGGTGGCCAGGGGGTGGCCACGGGTGGCCAAGGGGGTGGCCACGGGTGGCCAGGGGGGTGGCCACTGGTGGCCAGATATCTCCAGTTATGACCAGTAACAGATCTGGGACTCCTGTTCAGCTACCAGTAAGTTGGTACCTGGGCATTTCTCACAGTTTGTGCTGGTGTTTTGGTAATTAGGTACCTGGGAGTCAGCAGACTGTTGTGGGCGTCACCCTGGGAGACCTCAGCATTCCCCCACACTGATAGATATGCCTGGATAATCCTGGATTTTGAAATCCTTCATGGATAATAAACTTAACAATGATCCCAACACTCTCCTCCAGCACTCCCCTCCATCACTCTCCAACACCCTCCTCCTCCACTCCACCATCCTCCATCACACCATCACTCGAGCACTCTCCTCCATCACTCCATCATGTCATTTCATACCAGGAAATAATATTCCGTCCTCGAAGCTTGTCAAGGGATATCTTTCCTGTGGTATTATCTATTCCGATAGCCTGGTACCGTCCCAGCATCCGGATGCGCGAAGTTATCTCTTATCCGAATACAGTTTCGGATAGAATTCCTAGGCATCCGGTCGTAAAACACGAGAAAAT